TTTTTATATAAATTTTCACATGAGCACCGGTGTTTTCATCCTAAATTTTTTAGTTAGTACTTGAACATAAAGCACCTAGGTTACAGTGTAGCGCTGAATCCTTGACCGGGTACAGCTCGTGTCACGTCGCAGACTGAGGCTTTCGATTTCGTAATCGAGCCAGCAGTGTGCACCGGCCAGTTGATCGATTATGGTCATTGTGCCAGAGGCGTTCCACTCTCGCCGCGATTTTGCTTGCTTCGCTGCCTTGCTGACCTTTGCATGCTTTATCGTTTGTGCAGTTTTTTTCTTAATAGGTATCTACTTAGGTTACTACTGTATCTAATTATTCTCTGAGGGTCAAGTCTGAGAGCCTAGTTCAGTCTGATTTTCATCTCATAGATATACTGAATCTAGCTTCCACCGCAGTTTTAACCTCTTCGATTTCAACACTTCGTACCAGCTATCGTCATCATTTGGTTTTCGCTTAGCATTTCTTTTTGGTTTCGAATTGGTTATAGCGTGATACTATATTAAATAGGATTTTTAATTTCCGACCATTGATTTCTGATTACTAAACACAAAGAGACAAATTCTTTAACCTTATATATTAATATAATTTGTTCCATTTAACCTCACAAAGTAAACATTAAGATTTAGGGTAACGAAAGTAAAACGCGAACTACATAAATCACCAAGAAAGGTTGTATAGTATCAGACAACAGTGAAAAGATGATTCAATCCATGACACGTGTTCGGTGTTTCTAAATATAAAGAACCGTTATCTGAATACCGTTTGTTATTACTTGAACGTTGACCGCATTACAATAAATGTTTTCCTTTATCACGTTCTCTGTTCGTATTTGCACAATTTCCTTCAAAGGTTGTGTGAAAACTGCAATTTACATAGCTATTGCTGCTTGTAAACTTATAAGGTATAGCACTTACATACTTATTAGGAATGTTTAACTTATGCAAGGTTTAAGGTTTCTTTTCGTATGCAAGTATTTTTTTAATATTTTACCCATAAATATTTCTATTAGTTTAATCTCTTATTTTCCATTCATTATGCCAATGAATTATGAAGACAGAGGAATTGTATCTACTGTAATATTAGTTTACTTCCTTCATTAGAGGCGTGCATTTTTTTTAGTAGCTGTGAATTTTCTGTTACAAACTTACTCCTTTTCCCATCATAACCCACAAATAGTCTAACCCAGGCGTTGTCTACTAATATTGACATGTGTCGTTATCTATCACAAGAGTTTACAATCTTCCACACAAAACCGAAAGTGTACGCCGCTATGGCATAAACAAGCGAGTCTCGAATGCGTCTATGTTCGCTTTCACCTTCTACGACCACCTTAAGTCGCCACAATTAAATACTCCTTCGACTGCCGCAGTCGGCTAAGAGGAAGCGAAAGCAAATTGTGGAATTTCACCGAATCACAACTTACACACGGACGATGCTAATAAGAAAAACGAACTCTTGCAAATATAATTAACGAGTAAATAAAAAATCGATGACATGACGATGACGTGCGGTACCGGTCGCGCTAGTTTTAGAAATTTTCTTTAGTAGCCGGTTTTGGGAATACGTAACATACTAGGGACCGATAATGTGATGTCGTCCGTCGAAAGTGAATGTTTCTATGTTTGTTATTCGTCGCGTCGTGTGTCAGACGTGCGATGTGTAGTAGATGGAAATGTGTAATCGATAATCTTTGTATTGACGCATCAATTATTATAATCATATTATAAACAATATAATGTATTTATTATTCTTATATTATAAAGAGGAAATATTTGTATTTTTGTATGTATGGAACGAATAAAGCCAAGCTGAACTGATTTCAAATTTCTTTCACTATTACAATAAATACTATCTGTCATCCCAAGATGCGAAGCCGGAACGGTCCCTTAATTATATATATTTTGTGACCCGGGACATTCATTGATTTATACCAAATTATATAATTAAAGTCTAGGGGTAGTAAGTGTAGTATACAAAGTTTATAGTATTTAATGTAAAATAGGTTTCGTAAATAATACATTAAATGTATATCAAAACTACATTACATATACGCAGATCATGTAGGATTGTATCCATGTATGTATGATTCGCAACCTAGAGACTTGTGTGTTCAAGTTCAACCTCTTGTGGCGTTAAACAATGTGACATTAGCTAAGGATTGTTGTGATATATTATGGACGCCCGCGCAAACGTCCTCAGCAACGCTTATTAGATATTGTATATACCATTTTAGGATTAGACCACTTAACAGTTCAGATAACTTAATTTTACTTCCAGTATAATTTTGTTTTATCGGTTAATTTATGTATACTTATAAATCTTGTATTATGGGTATTATACAACTCATACAAATATATAGATATTTTTTTAAAAACATACATAATATATGTAGAACATACCATACTTATAAATATAAATGTTTGCACCGTGCGAGGAGTCGAACGGTAAAACGGTGTGTAAAATGGTGGTTTACACCATACCACCGAGGTCATTGAATCATCGAATAATAAAAGTTAGAAGTGAGCAGAATGTTAAACAATTTCTTATTATATTTATTTATTGAGACAGCATTCCATTAAATAATCCTCTTATATTACAATTATAGATTATTATTATAATTACTTTATACAGTAGATGTTAAATCATAAATTTCCTGTCCAATATATGTACTGATTCTAGATACTTTTAATAGTGACATCTATTTAGAAACTTCTTGATTATGTCTTGCACGAAATACAAGTATTTGTCATATATGACATGGAATGTACTGATAAAACTATCATCATATGCCATCTTATATTATTTAAATACAAATTTGTCTCTCTACTCAATGCGTATATATGTATACAATTAATTCATATTAGTAATAGATTATTAAAAAAAAAAATACTGAAGTGTATATCAATATATACAAATATAATTGATAACTACGAACAGTATTATTATTCATAATTACACTGGTATTTTAAGTAAAAACGTGTTCTACTTGTTGCTACTACTCGCCGCTAGATGGCACTCATTTACTCAAAATGTAACAATATGACTCAGTGACTCACATTCATACATAAAGCCATCTGGCTTCTCCGACAATCATGAGTAACGGAAAAACTTGAGTTTTCCCTCAAATTTTATAAATCGACTAGATGTTTTATTCTTTCCATTATAAATAAGCAACTGAATATGGCCGAGTAAACCAATTAGATAGAATTTAATCCTATTAGACTTGACTGCGATCTATGTTACATACAACTGGTGTCAGTTATTTCTTGTTAGCTCGTTACTCTTGCAATGTACAAGTGTTTCATTAATAATTGCTAGGAAAAGTGTTGCATTGATAGTCGATAACACACGTTATTATGACACCTCACATAAAGGAATATAGGTGTCGAAGTTTATCAAAAATTAGTACAACTGGTACTAGAATTCAAAATTCTAGAGTTTGCTGGTAAGCCGTCCTCGAAAAACTTTATATTGAATGTCATTTATAGAGTTAACTACAGTTAACTCTATAAATTTACTTTACTACAGTTAACTTTATCTATATGTAAACGATGTAATATATTTTCTGTATTTTATATTACAATCGGTAGTAATTTCCCACAAAGATGACATTGCGCCATGTTACGTCGAGTATTCGATTGTTTGAATGTTGGTCTATAACTATAACGGCTATGATTATGAAACGTGAATTGATTGTGCTCTTTACTTTAGTAACTATCTCGTGCGCTGGCAGTACCTCTGTGACCGCAGCCCGTGCCGGTCCTTGCCAATTAATTTACGTGTTAATAAACCGGCACCTAGCCCAATAGTGACCACGATATAGCCCACCATATTGTTTCCCCGTATATGCCTCTATTCATTTAATCGACACTTTTTAATAATTAATTACATATCTCATTATTATAGTTGCTCATTGACAATGTTATTCATGATGACACGTCATTAGGTGTAACCTTCACTACAGTAATTTCGTTCACAAATATTCGTATTGTGAATTCAAGCAATAGTCACATTATAATATAGAAGCTTGAGTATAACTTGGTACTAGTTTCATTAAACTGCTAAACCAGTACCGAGTTACTCTACTGTATTTTTATTAGTTGTATTCCAAGGCTTTATACAACGCGAATTTGTGAAGTATGTGTATGTAAGGTAACTCTCTTATAATTCACACAACCAAAACATCAGAATATAGATCTTTAAACCAATGTGCTGTACATATATATGACAATAACAAGTTATGCATGTTATATTTCACATATTGGCGATTTATTTCAAATTCATCCCATTAAAGATGATTGGATGACTGAGAGCCAAACCTCTGTTATTAATCAGTAGGATAACCCTCTACTATCTTAATAAAATTAAGGTATAGTTTTTAATTATATATTCATACACAAAAATAACATAAGGTTATGTTAATGGTGTTTATGGGAAAGAGTCATAATCAAAAACACAAGGACGGGGCAAAGGCGATGGCCAGCGTTGCAGGCACTTCTTACCGCGTGCTGCCTGCCACCATCAGACCACCTTGTTCAGCTAGTAGATCCGTATTCCAGTTATGCAGACCGGTCGCCAACGTTAGTAAAACTTGCAAAACTCTCAGCGAACACTCAAATCTCACCTTAAACATTTCTTGCACAAAACTCTTGTACTCCTCCTATACACTAACCCTACAGCCTACCGATCGATGATTTCACAGCTCGGAGCATTCGTGGAGGCGGAGAAATGAACGTTCCAAACGATCGCATCACCGGCGTTCACCTACATCGCACAGGCGGAGGAGACATCATCGTGACGAGTCATCACCACGTTCACCACCTGAACAGGTCAGTTACACAGTTTCTTTATTATTTTTTACTAAGCGGATGTACGAAAGGGTATATGTAGAATGAATATCAAACCCAACACTCACTTTTCACAACAATGAAATGTCCACCCGAAAACCTGTCTTTATTCATTTAAAATCATAGGTACATAGGCGTATCTTGGTAGTATAGTGAGGAACTAGAATAAAGCGTTAAACGTCAGCGTGCTTGTTTAGGATAACACACCGGGCGGGTTTGGCTTGAAAGTGCGCGTGCGCGTGCGCCTTCGCCCGTGAAGATGTGCGCGAGAGACGGCGACCTCCTCGCGCTTGCGCCCGTTCTATTTGTGTTCGCCTTCGTCACTCGGTCCGCCTTCAGTCAGTCGCAAAGCTCAGCCGGCCGCCCGGCGCGTCTCCATCGCTGTATCGAAATACGAGACCGCCGCGTAGGGCCACGGGCGGCCAATGCACAAGACATGGCTGCCCAGCCGCCTCAACGACCACCCCCTAAAAACTTGCTCTTCTGTGGCCCTCCACCAATTCTACCACATGTGGTTTTATTACCTAATGACGATGTTCGTGACGTTAGCAACCTCGACATTGCTACTGACACCTCCGTCGCTCCAACAAATGATGCAGATGCTTTACATGAAATAAACAACATCGGTGTGCCTACTTATGAAACTGTGTTTGACAATCAAGTAAATGATGTGCTTGAGCCAAAATGCAGTGCCAATGACTTTGCATTCGATAACTATTATTTGCGTAGAACTCGCAGTTTTGATATATCAGATATCTGTAAACAAAATGAAAATCACAATAATGCTTACAGACATGGACGATCTGAACCAGATTTATCTAAGTATGGACTATTTCTAGAAGCTGAAGTAACAATGGAATGTGGACCTCTACATCCTGCTCCGCTTGTGCTCAATAATCCATTTTATGACGGTTCTTTCGCTTTAGATCCAACACATATAAATCAACACACTGTGGTTTTACCTGAAAATTATTTAGCGTTTGAAGATTCATTCGTACCAGCTTGGGATTATAAGCCAGAATTACTTGTAGGTAGTGATTACAATACTGAACTGTACTATGATGGAGTGCCCTTATTACCTCCTCATGATCCATGGTCAAATTATGGAACTGAACCATCCGATTTTGAGTATTTTGTGCCACACTTTAATACTTCTATGGGTGACCAAGATGGTATTAATTATATACCTTTGACTGATTTAGAGTATGCCATACCTCAATATATGAATTTACCGATGATAGAACAAGCTAAAATCGAAACATTCGCAGATAACAACTGTCAACCTGAAGAAACTGCCACGCTTGTTACTGATGTTACAAATGCGAAAGAAGAAAATGATAATACTAGTAAACATCCAGAAGTATGTTTAACATCAGCGGTCGAAGTAGGTACAAGTAATTTAGTTAGTGACGATGAAAAAAATAGTGTAATTGACTTTTCTGCTAATAGAGAATTATCTAATCAAAGTGATGAATCATTAAATGCGGATATATCTAACGATATTACATCAAGTTTAGCATTTGTGCCCAGCAGTAAAAGTTCACCTAAGAGACCTCATATAGGTGCCGATGACACTAGTGATGATACTTCACCTTGTTCTACAGACTATCATGAAGCTTCTGCCTTAGATTTAGTGCAAAGCCTAGATGAATTTTCTTGTTGTGACAGCACTGACTTTTCTCAAAGTAGAGATGACATTTCACCTGTATTGGCAGATCCCCCAGAAAGTGATAAAGCACGATGCGAAATAGTGAAAAATAAAACAAAATTACAGTATAACGACGGGATTTCAAGCACTTCTTTAGCGAAAGTACCTTTAAGTCAATTACCATCCATTCCACTTCAAGATCCACTACCTATTAAACTACCTCCAATACCTAATAGTTTGCCACATAATGTAAATTTAAACAACAAACCGGAGTCACAACCACCGAAAATAATTACAAATATAGAAAATAATTCTACCGAATATAAAACTAAAACTCCACCATCACAAATAAGTGAAAATAATGAAAATTATCAAAGTGTTGTGAGTAATGACACTGAACATAAAATAGCATTAGCGCATCGTCCTGAACCTCCTGAAGTACCGCCATCCTGGTTGCCTCCGAGATCAACGAGTAACCATTTATCAACGACGCCACAAATATTTATTCAAAATACAGAAGATCATCCAAAAGAGACGGAAAAGAGTACAAAATTCTGCCAGGCCCCACCGATTCCACCGCCAAGAACAAATCAGCCTACAGCTACAGAACCTCAGCCATCTTGTTCTTTTGTACCACCACGACCTCCTCCTGCGCAACTCAAACCTGAAAAGCAACCGAAAGAAGTTGAGGTCAGACAATAAATTCATTTAGCATTTTTAATTACATCTTTAATCCAACTAAAATGAAATCTGTGAATGTTATTATTAAAAGTAACTGCGCAATGCGTTGCTAACACGTATTGAGGGCAATACGCGGCTATTTTAGCGTATATTATCAGGTCAAGGAGCTAATCATCGCCATCTTCTTAGCCTTTTTTATGCCATAGCTGAGGTCAATTTTAATCATTATAAATAGAATATTGTCAAGGTCACCTTTACTATATTTCATATAGTGGTAATTTGACTAATCAAACTTGTCATTCTTTTGCTTTGACAATAACTGCATCAATACATTACTACAGCTTCTTTAGTTGTGCAAGTTGTCCCCTAACTATTTCTAATATCCCAAAATCTTCAATACACGTACATACTTACCTAAGTATCAAAATTTATATATAATGAGAACAGCCTGTGTGTGATTTTATATTTACGTAGCAAGATTTGCAGTTCTATTTTCTAACTATCTATAAATCTATTTCAATTCATAAATATAAAACAATGATTTTTTATATCTGTTGTAAACAATATTTGCATGGCGGACGAAAATAGTATGAGGCGATGAGCAGCTGGCGCAAGCTATGCGATTTTGATCGCATACTCTAGATGGCGGTACATGACATTCTTCAGTTAAAAACATGAACGACGTATGCGTACGGAAATAGTATCGCGACGATCACCTTCACCTAGGCGAATTCTACATGCCCGCTCTGTTATGATAACAGCCCCTCCCGATTCATTCGCCTCCCACCTAATAAAACCATGTATGTGCCCATAGTAAACAGACTTTAAAAACTGTGAAAACCTGTCACAGTGAATTCCTAAACTGTGCCAAATAAACATATATGTGTAAAAAAATTATTAATTGTAATTTACTAATTTCGGTAGCAATAAATTTGTAAAACCAGGCTCGATAGTAATTTCAGAAATAAAATTCTTGTTTTTATCTTTGTTTGTTGTTAATGTTGTTGTTAGTTAATAATGGAACAAAGCAATACAATACAATGATGAATGTTGTTCTTTGTCAATGATATTTCATTTTATATGCAATTTAATAATGTCTATTTGAAGACCGAAATAATAACACCACGTCATAACTTATTATTATTTGTACTTACGTTGAAAATCTAGTAATGTTACAAATTGGTTGATTTCAAGTGAAAAAGTACATAACTGTGAGTTGTAATAACACAACGTTCTGTCGCAAACACATTTGCCTAATAGACTGTTATGAAGAGGCGTGCGCTTCAATTGTTTTGAATTGTAGCATGAAATGCACAAATTGAAACCTGCTATATCCGGCTTGAATCGGCACGAGCTGTGAATCAAACCCCTAGCATGAGAACATGGACGTTCAGCGTCATCCTATGTCTATTTATTTTACCTACATTATTCACATAATATTTTGATTATCTTTGTTAAGCGGTTGATATATTGATTTGCCTTCAGTTGGTCCCAGGTTCTATGTCCTGCGAACATTTTTTTTATAGTTTTTGTGGTTGACGTTCCCGTACATTCAGTAAAAATTTAGTATTTGTATTAATTATATAGACAATAGTAGATACCTACTAGACAGGATAGAGCGTACAACAGTACTATATCCAGGTATGTTATTACTATATTATCAACTGAAAGAACATTGCTTTCATTTCTTAAACTTTGTTATGAATACTCTTAAATAAGTAGATAAATTTTTGGTCTAAATAATATGGACTTGGATTATAGGTAGTAGTATACATATACCTAAAAACTTAATTACTTCATATGCATCTATTATTTCCACACAAACTAAAATTAAATCCTCGAGTAAGCATGCCATGTCAGTTAGAAGTTATCATAAAACTTTCCTTATATTTACCTAATTATTTTATCTTGACATGGGTCCATCACGAGTTTTTGACTAATACTATCACTATGTAACCGAGTGGCTCGCAACAAATTTATTCTTAACGATAAGCTAATAGTAGATGTTGTATAGCCTAGGGTCAAGTTCACAACAGCAATGAGTACATTCCCTATCGCGTATCATTAATGTGGCGCGGCCGCCGTCGGTCAAGATATCGTCTGATAAATGTGGTACGCCGCTGTTTCGAACCTACCTATCTATTTGGTAATGCCCAGTTCCTTCCGGTCGACCTTGCCGATACCGTTCATGTGGTCATGTTGCGCCAAACATATTCCGCAGCGTTACGGTAATTATCTAAGTACGGGTGTTTAACATTTACATTGAAGCTCCATGTACGTCACCTTAATTTGACTTATTTTGTAACGTTCCTAAGCATCACCAAATAAACCATACTTATACTGACGACGTGCAGAAATTAGATAACTGCAATATAATAATGAAACAATATTCGTAAATTAATATCTTCGTGTCCTAACTCGTCTAATCATAAAATGTATTTCACGTCACGTTTTTGAGTTCAAATCTGCAGTGTAACTTTTGCACGCGAATGAAACGGAATCAAAATGAAAATATATCAAATAATTTTCATGTCTAAGATCAATTCAAACTGCGACGTAGATACAAATAAAAGTATAGAATTGTAAATAAACTATATGTCAATGGATTAAATGTTGGATAATGCAATATATTTAATAAAAGACATATGGGCGAAAACAATCGCATATAAGTCATTGATGATTTCAATTTGTTCCTCATTCGATCGCTTCTGGCCTGCTTTTTGATGCCTTAGTCAGTTTAATATCCCGAGATAGGCGCGCTCCCTGTATTAGGTTTATTCCTCATCATAATGTGTTATTGCATTCATTTCATAACAAGGGTTGTTTGTGATTTTTTGCCTTCAAAATATTGAAACACTCATGCAGGATTGTTTGTAGGTACAAATGAAATAACATTTAAATGTTTAGCCCTTTCACCCCACACTTCCACTCAACGTCTTCGTTTGGTGTCTTTTTTTTTTTTAATTTAAAGACATATTACAATCTATCCTCATCTTAATTTTCTTTAAAATCATTTCTGCCGCTTAGCGTTAAATTATAACAAATCAACAGAGACGCTCACTTTCGCGTCTACAATGTTAATGGTGTATCATTCATGATGCCTAATATTTGTTGCCTTTGTTCTTTTAAGTATAGGAATAATGATACAAAAATTTGCAACGCGGATAAATCCTGTTCAAACCGAGCTCTCGTTACTAATAATCGGTTCCATAAATGCTTGCCATGTTTAATTGAAATGATTCGTCCAATATCGTCTCAGTCCTGTCTTAGACATTGGCCGATGCAAACAGTTATCTAATACATATAATATTGTTTTTATTTGCCATTGTATCGCGTGTTTCTGTAATCTAGATGTTTTGTTGTGACGATCTACTAGTAAAGAGGAGGCGTGCTTGAGTTGAATAGCGTGGCGCTATTGCATATTACAGCTGTAGAGCCGGAGTTATCAGGCAACCGGCCGCGGACTCACACGCCCCAACTACGTTCTTATAGTTGTTTAGTTTGTAAAGTTAGTGCTATGTTTGTGCTGTGAGTAAAGATAATGGCAGAATTATCAATTAAACGTGATCGAATACGGATGCCCCTCCGGCTTACCTCCTTTTATGATCTGTACAAGCGGTTTCTCAAGGAGCACAGGTGCAAGTGGCACGATGTTGCAAAATTACTCTCCGTATTCGCGGAGATCCTTTTTGATGTGGACAGTGCGTGTAGTCGACTTGCAGGAAAGGTCAGTCTCATTATGCAATATTAAAAAAATAAGCTATCTATTAATATTATGAATAGGGATCAGTATTGTGTGTGTGTAGAGATAATATGCAGGACCTTGTAGAAAAATCTTTTATAATTTCCATGGCACATTATTCCAGACGCACATTGCTTATATCCGTACATTATGTATATTTTTCGACCGGAATAAAGTTTGGTACAGGCCGCTAGATAAATCTATGTTAAAAAATTATATAGTTCAAATATACATTTATGATAAGCAACGTTGACAAACTAATACCTTGTAGCCCAACATGAAGGAATTCTTTGTATCTCAACAATACTATGCGAAACAAGCCCTACCCCTGTCTAAAAAATACACGGACCAATAAACGACAAGACCCGTTCTTACCTGCACTGCATCCCCATAATCGTACTAAACAGCTGGCTAGTTGCTTTGAGCAAGCCCTTAATGTATTTTGTGGATTGTGTTTAAAGTGATTTTGTAAATTTTCGGCTTTATTTTAATATCACATTGCAATCAAAATGAAAACCTATAATATATCGGTCATGTTGAAACAATTTATTGATTTTAATTATCCGAAAATACTCGATGAATGGGGTTTATGCTGGTCTGTGGTATGTAGTACGTACATTCGTAACATCTGTTTAAACACACCTATTTAATGCAATAAAAGTTTCATCAATTCGTATGTAGTTTTTAATATTCTAGTGTTAGAATACTTATCATAATTTGAAGCATTTAAAATAACGTGAAGATATTGCTATTATAATCGACCTTTGAAATAGAAATAGAAAAAAAATAGTGCAGAAAACTTCATCAACGAGGTCGCGCAGTTTAGGAATGCTTGTTGTGATTTTTGTAGAATTTCCAATAATGCAATGGCGTCGACTTGTTTGTTCATACTGTGTGCAACAATACTGTAAATTCTTGTATTATTTTTTAATAATGCTACTGAATTCATTTACACTTTAATAGATTTATATCTTTGAACGCGATACAGACATTAAGACATTTTGAGGTCAGATTTCAGTATATAGATTATTCTAACAACAGACGAACGACAAATAGATGTGTTATGATTAGTTTACAATGTGATAACCGTGAGACATGTATAGGGTTCGTGACACTCAACGTATCAAAGCGGCTCCATCCGTTCGATTCAACCATAACTAAAATGATTCAGAACTCTTGAAACGTAATTATCTATAAACAAGATAGATACGAGAGAACATCTGACCTATGGAGTAATGCTTATGTATTCTGTATGGAATGACTTCTTGTGCCGAGACATTCAGCGGCTACCGTGTGCGCAGGCGTCATTGTTCAGTGCTCAGTCGCACGCGCTCCACTGACCCAATTACTTGCAGCTTATTGACAAAACTGTCTTGGCTCTGGTGCTCACTGTTTAGAGAAAGGCGTACATATGCTTCACAAATGCAGGTGTATAATAGAATCAATTAGGAGCAATGAAGGCGGCCCACTAATAAAACAGTATACTTATTATCGGCTAAATTAGTTTTCACACGAAGATACATACTGTGATGGCGTATAGAAAATATTTGCCATGTTCATACGTAGGTGGCTGAATTACGGTTGACGTGAATCGGATTTATTCATTATTTCCATACAGAATGCAAATAATTACATGTATTGAAGAGCAGTTATACCAAAGGACACCACGTAAAGGAAAGTTGTGGATATTAATTATAAATGTTGTAATGCGAAGAAACTCTCGCGTGGCGAACACCTCGCAAGTGCGCGGGAGGGCGCTCCCACGGGTTGCCGATATTTTTAGTCCACGACCATTACTTGGCACCGGCGGCCGCACTCGACTGCGCTAGTGATCTTTCTGAAATTCGTTCGCGCTTAGGTACGCTCCCAATCTCTAGATAGACCCAGTCTAATGTTCGGTGCCGCGACATTCGCCGGTTAAACAAAGAAAAGTAATGTTTAGTCTGTCTTCCTCTAGTGTGAAATTATGACGTTTCTCGATTACTACGTGATATATCCTGGCTAGTGTGTGTGAATTGGAATCTGTTAAAGTTGTACAATATGGCTACAGTCAGTGCTAATGGCACGACCACCCCTCGACGAAATCGCTACAGTCGTGCTTCCACCACTAGTGTAACTCAATTATTGTCTGATGGTTATTCCAGCATTATGAATAGGCTAACCCGTCGTGGACCGTCTGAGAAATCTGATGCAATAGCTGATGCAAAGCTAAGTACGGCCAGAACTCGATACGATGAGAAGTTACTGACGAATAAAAATCCTGCACTTGCGAGTATACGACGTTATGAGAACAGTAGACATATTTCGCCTTACGCATCTCTAACATCCGGAGCCACTCCGGCGCCGAGAAAATTAGACGACCGAACTTATTCGAGTTACCTAAGTGGATCTAAATCTCGGATCGAAATGTCACCTTTACATTCTGCAACCTCAGGTATCAGTACTCTTAGCCGCAGTGACTCATTCCTTAGGGCTCATATAAAAGATAGTAAATCTTCGCCCTTCACTAAACGATACCCTCTCAAAGATGCCAACCACAATATTGACAATATATTATTAGGTAGTACACGTAGTCGTTTGGAAGATAAATATTCCTCAGTATTGGATAGAATTGCTATACAGAAAAAGGAAAGGGCCCGAAAAGACAAAGAGGACAGAGATAAAACTTTAGAGCCGGAGCCATCAGTTCCTAGAGGGTTAATGAGAAGTTTGACAACGGCAGTGTTTGGTGAAAATTCATTTAAACGAAATAATTACTCGCGTGAAAAAACTAGAGACAAAACGCCTTACAGAAATACCACAGATCGTCGTTTATCTTCAAATACGAAACAAAAAGATAAAGAAGAACTAAAGAATGGTTATGATATACCACTCAAAGATCGTCCTCACTATGGAAAAGACAGAGACAGTATTTATAGAAGACATCAAAGACGATCTCTTAGAGCTGAAAAAAGTGAAACTAAAGATAGAAAAGGTAAACTGACATTGCGACCTATAGACATTGATATCCATCCAGGAGCTCGCGATTTAATATCGCCAATAACAGTAGATATTAACGAAACGAACTCGAAATCAAAGACAACAAAAACACCAGCCTCTTCACCAATTAGAGAAATAGGCAGACAAAAACAAATATACTTTCCGTCCAGTGACGAAGAGGACGATGACAAAACTCCAGTCGGAGATCGAGTACTGACCGAACGGGAAACTAGGCGTAAGGAAATTCAGAGCTTAATAATGAAATATGCGCACCTGGATGAGGTATACGGCCGAATCACAGATAGAGATACTAAGGAAGTGCCGGCCGACGTAATCATACCTAAAAAACCGGAGCCCATAAGTGTTGGAGACGTGGTAATGCTACCGCCCGAGCTGCGCAGCCGACACCGTCCTCAGCGGCCACGGCATTTGATGCGGCGCGCGGTCACGCCGCCTGTAAGCACAACGCTAATCGCCTGCGCCTCTGTGTGCCGCTAACATACACCTGGTCCGTTGTTTTTCAATCTCTAAATAGGCTTGTACAATTATGTATATTCGTATCGACAAATGCATAGCCGCAAAATAAACATATTACCCTACTTAAAATGTATAACGCATACATATAATAATTGATCTTAGAAAGCTCCTACATTTTAACTAGTAACATTGAAACTAATTAAAGGTTGCATGCCAGTAATAAGTATACGTAGATTATTTACAAAAACAAATTAGGTAGTTTGGAATCAATGAAAAGTTACTGCATCAGAAGGTAGTTTTGAAAAAAGTGACAAAGTTACAACGTTAACTAACACCTTACCTTACTAATAAATAAGGCAACTAACAAATGTTTTGACCTGTGAAGTAAATATTATAATGATAAAAAAATGATATTGCACGTATTAACGTATTTTGTGCGTGTGTTTCAAGTTAATATGTCCTTTCTAAGTATAAAAATCTTTTCAAAGGCAAAGCTTAAACGGAATTATGATAATTCTACCGGTTCCACTGTTAGTAACAGATATTTTATGAAAAATAATTTTTCTAGACTAGTATATTCGGGTGGACACTATATCCTCAATATCCATTGTGTAAGGTGATTTTTACAAGTGAGAGTGTGTGTGAGGTGCATCGGTTCCCGTCCTTTCCGGTAAGTCCAGATCTTCCCTTTCCCCGTCCGGTCCCGCGCGCGGCGCACCAGATCGGCGGGTGGCCGAGCTGGTCTCGGGCGCCCGCCCGGCGCCTCCGTAGCGTCCACTCGTCTGCCCTCTAACAGCATGTACGACACACCATACCAATTGTCGCTTGTCTGACGGGCAACCGTTCCATTGTTTGATTGTTGGGTACAACACTACTCGGGTCGTGGCGATCGCGTGGCGCTCCTCGTGGCATGTGGCGTGGTGCGCTGGTGCGTGTGACGTGATGCCGGCGTGTGGCGCGTGTGCTGCTCTGGACTGCTGCTGGACTGGACCCTGCGACTGCGGCGCCGGCGCTTGCAGAGCTCCCGAGCACGCTCCTCCGTCAAGGACGACAAGGACGGACACCTGGTGTACTGGCCCGGATATGTCATGGGAGCGAGATGTTCGTGTCCACACCATAACTTACGAACATATGTATACAAATACACACATTACTCAACTCTACACACTTAAACACACGTCATTCAAATATTTTTGTAAACAGATACACATTTCATAAAATCCGACCCAGCATTTTGCAATAGTGAGGAATTTTCCTACACTAGCCCCACAATCGAGATTCGTGATTGTCAGTGATCTGTGAGAAGATTTAAATTTTCTCATTATTACTTTTTGTTTTTATAATTCTAATAATGAATACGGCAACAAGTTTTAATATGTATTTCCTCAAAGTCATGTTGGAGCTACTGTCATTGGTATCACTAAAGATGATTCCAATTGAAAGTGATTAATTTTATATAAATTTATTTATTATTATATCCAATACCAAAACCAATACCAAATTCCATCATGACTTATTTTCTATACCCCTAAACTAATAAGTTTACTTGATTTTATTACAGACAAAATCATCGACACGCTCGGTGAGGGCACCTTCGGCAAGGTGGTCGAGGTGAAGGATTTAGAAATGTGAGTATATTATTATTCTCTGCATCTAATATTTTTAATCTTTATGATTTATTCACATTTATGTATTTGATAATGTACATGCATTAAAATGACTTTATAATTATATATGTATACTGACATACAGAATAATAAAAGATATTAATTGCATTATAAAAACAAAGATAGAATGTTAAAACTTATGACTGAGAAGTAATTGGAAGAAGTCAGAAAAAATATGTATGAATAAATATCTTATTTTTTCTCGGTAAATCAGTACTTAAAAAAATATTTTATATTGACTAGTATTGAGTGAAAAATAATACTCTTCATACAAATTCTTCAATTTTGGGTGCTCTTAATTTAGCGTCTTAAAATATCCGTCATTTGCCAAAGTAAGTTTGACTCAGCCGACTTGCTCAGTCATTTCTTAGGTTGCCTGTCACTAGTTCTCTTGGCATACCCCGTTTACATAAATTAACATTCTAGTGTCCAAGAGAAGTGACGGATAAAGAATACCATGGATAACAAAATTCTAGGTGTATAATGTTATTTAGGTCTATAGGCAACGGTTATTACTTTCCATCTGGCGGACCGTCATTATTTTTGCCACTGCCAGTACTATAAAAAGATGAAGTAAAAATAGTTTATGGATTTCCGCTGTTAATGAGCATAATAAACAGATTTCAGTGACATATTCTACACTAATCACCCATATCAATCAGACAATCCAGTGTCATTCACATCTCTGCAAGCGGATGATGACACACATTGTTTGGCATTGCGTGCTTTACTTTGATTCTTCGTCGCTATTTTAGTTTGTTTATATTAGCGCGTCGCCTTTCAATACTTATTGCCAGCAAACACCGAATTTTATATTGTGCTAGTAAAATATTATAACAAAATGTAATAATGTTTTTTCAGGGAACACAGAATGGCTCTGAAGATAATCAAGAACGTTGAGAAGTACAGAGAGGCTGCAAAATTAGAGATAAACGTTTTAGAAAAATTAGCAGAAGTAGACCCAGATTGTAAAAAGTGAGTATCCTGTTGTATTTATTGTATATTGGTTTGCAAGGCAGGTCTAGTTTTGATCGGCGAGCGGGTAACGGAACGCGCGGTTCGTGTGGCAACTGATGACCTTGCGGCTCCAGCGAGGCGACGCGGCCGGCTGGCCCGCCGCCAGCGCGTGCGATGTCAACTCAAAACACAAAAATACCGTCTGCCACTTGCTCCTATATTTCTAAATAGATACTTTTTTCCCGCGCACATACCCACGCCCTTGATTTTCACGATATTATGTCTAATTATATTGATATTGTCTGCGAGTAAATATGAACGTGGGCGGTGTGAAATAAATTTTATTAACGATGACGTTATTTCCTTTCCAGTTTATGTGTTAAGATGCTGGACTGGTTCGAATACCACGGCCACATGTGCATCGCGTTTGAGATGCTCGGACAAAGTGTATTCGACTTCCTGGTGAGTAGAGTTTAAATACAAATTTTCACTGCATAATATTCTCCACTAGCCAATCATAATACGTATGTATAGATATTAATTGGCAGCTCTAATTTAACTTTTGATACACTAAAATAGATTTGCTGAATAAATATCGTCGATGTTATGCCAGGAATGTAATGCAAAAACAAGTCGTTCTAATAACGTAATAATTATATCTTAAAATATTTCCGTTTTCACACAAATGAAATTGTTTTTCAACTGGTATATGTCGACTTACTGATTGGGGGAGGCCTTTATCCAGCAGAGGACCTCTTCCGGGCTGCGATGATGATGATGATGATGATATGTCAACTTGTTCCAAACAAAAATGAACGCGATCGTTTGTTAAGATGGATATTTGTTAGTCTTTATTGCAAAAACTAGACGAATTCGTACTAAGCTACGTGCTATGATGAGACAATGATCATAGCACGTAGCGTACAGGTTGACACAGAAAACCCCTTCCACGATAAATTCTATCGGAAATATAATGTTTAATACAACTTAATTATTTAAATTCAATTTAGATCTAAAAATTGACACCCAAATAGTTAAAAACATAACTATCTATGTAAGCACCACTCTGATATAGTTAAATTATTTACATTATGTAATTATATGTGTTTGACTTTACAGAAAGATAATAACTACCAGCCGTATCCCCTGGAGCAGGTGCGGCACATCTCGTACCAGCTGATCTACAGCGTACTATTCCTACACGAGAATAAGCTCACACACACAGATCTCAAGCCGGAGAACATTTTGTTCGTAGATAGCGACTATGAAGCAGTCAGTGTATACAGTAGTTCTAAGAAGGTAAATTGATTTTGCACTAATTCATTTTCCGAATGAGTTTTTTTGAGTGATGACAAAATAGTGATCACGTAGACACTACCATCATCATCATCATCATGATCTCTGAAGGATGAGACGAAAGGGTCAATTGGAGTATCGTGATCAGTTGACCATGACTCAACCGCGATGATGTCCAGGCCTCTCATGGGACATCATCGCGTGCGTGGAGTCAATCTGATGGGTGTATTGTATACAACATATTCCTCCATTGCATACAATGTGAGACGGATATAAAATAATTATGCCAAATGAGTAAGCCATCTAAACAGCATTATTGGAAATATTCTTTTTTAACGTTGTGATTATCATTGCTATGTTCAGTTACGATAAACTCTGAAAGTACTTAAACCAATTTCTACGAACTTTGCCCCACTGTGTGTAATTTGGTCGAACTTAAGAGATATAATAGGTTTAAGCGACCTGAATATTGGTACTATTGAGCCACAAACACGTGGTCAGGTCAGCTAGGTGGATATAAAAAAGATAAAGACATATAGATAATACTTATTAATAGACCTTTGATAATATTAGGTCAACAAAATTGTATCATGAAACTATTTTTATACTTAATGTTAATTATGTAATAATATTCAAATACTATGGACATGTAAATTAGTTAGTAGCTGTAGTTATTAATATATTGTCCTTAATAAATTAGTTCCTTCGTTATTATATAATACATACTAAGAGTTACATATAAACAGTAGAAACAATGTGCTTTTATCATAAGTACATAATTAGTACAGCAATACAATTGGAGGAAAATCCCATGTATTTTATATAAATGATCGTATCAAGTAAACGATGTTTGCTAACCATTACGTTGTTAACAATAATTTTATTTCTATTGATAAAATACATTACTATTGTGTAATCATTGTAGTTCATGTAAACAGCTCTTGAATCAATTCCGATCATTCGACATTGTAGTACAAAAATCTGCAAGATGTAACATATTTTTTGTGCTCTAGAATACACTGGCAACAGTTTAAAAATTCATTGAGGGAACTTATTGGCTTTATAATCAATTTTACAGTTTCATAATTAGAATTGAATCTTAGAATTATATAATAGAATTATATAGGATTATAAAGGATATTAAGTTTGGACTTAAAAGTACACCTACTATATTTATTCAAGCATATATTTTATTGGTTATATGTACGTCCTTTTGCAGACCCATGACCTACTACGGGTGAAGCGCAGCGACGTGCGACTGATAGACTTCGGCAGCGCCACCTTCGACCACGAACACCACAGCACCATCGTCTCCACGCGCCACTATAGAGCGCCAGAGGTCATATTGGGTATGTTGAGTATATTGTATTTGCTTTGCTTAACAACAATCTGCAGATTTTGTCATGCTGAAAACGCTACAACACATAATATGTCTAGTAGCGTTTTCTTGGTGCTTGGTGCCCATTCATGCAAAAAACAAAATATCTCCTTTAGAAATTATATACTCTGTCCTGGGGACATAAAAATCATTGCTCCTAAGAATGTCCTTCAATTCTTGTCCCTGACGGGTATAGGTAGCGAACTTTGATATAGGGCGAGTATAATAGATCTATTGTGATATCATAGCTCTATTGTCTTAGTACCTAACAACTCAAAACTCTCAATAAAAAAAAAGTATTTGTTACCTGTCTCACTCGATTCAAATATATAGAAATGTGGACAAGTCAGATGTAGACTCAGGGATATTGGGTTAATAAGTACGTCGAAGGATTGGTTGTATAGACCATATTTATTGCTTGTCTCGTTGGATCAAATATATTGAGCTAAATGCGGGCAAATCAAAGTTGGTTTCACTATCAGTTTAACAAGTCCCCTGACTGGGTAGTCAGGGGACTTGTTAAACTGATAGTGAACAGTAGACAGTAAAAGTATACAGTTAAGACCCCTTAACAGTTGTGATAGTATACTTTTACTGTGACTTGGAATGACAAACGTTGGCGGTATGAAAAGAAGTAATAACACCATATATATAATGTAAATAACACCATAGGCATCACAGTGACATCCACAGTTATTCCTAACAGGTCCAAGTTCCTGTGTAACTATACTGATACAATAAAATCAATATCTGTACACCAATTCGTAATGGATACATGTTTACATGAGTTTTGTTTATTGTAGACAAAATAATGTCTTGAAATAGAAAAAAAATGTATAAATAGGTAAAGTAACTGGTATTGTAATAATTAATATAATAACACTAATAACTCAATTAGGGATACAGATAATGGTTTATCTTCCTTCCTTGAATATTTAGTATATATTATATGAATCACTTTTGGGAAAGTACTATTATAAACTTGTTTATTACTGTATCCGCCCGAACCGGATGTCTGTAACCTAAATTAAATGCATCATGAGTTATATTTTCCTGTTGTGTTTATTACACTCATATAATAAAATGAAATCCGACATCAGTAAGAAGTAACAATTACATACATATATATTGATAATTCCCACTTCAGTTAGTTCGTATTTTGTTTTTCTAATAAATGTTAATTATGTTAATTTCAGAGCTGGGCTGGTCACAACCGTGCGACGTGTGGTCCATCGGTTGCATCATGTTTGAATTACATCTAGGCATCACACTGTTCCAAACGCATGACAATAGAGAACACCTCGCCATGATGGAGAGGATATTAGGACCTATACCTTACAGGTACGTTTCCTGTTAACGAAGCATATGCTGCAGAATTAAACATATAAAAATTAAGCTTAATTTTATCGTGTAATATTTGAAAATAATATAGATAACAATTGATATTTGAAACTTATATATAATCATGTGTCTGCCTCTTGTTTAATTATTCTGTATGCAATTTTGGCGTCTTATGGTCTAAATTTGTAGTTTTAAAGTGAGTCATGAAGATGAAAAATAAAATTAAATCGTGAGATGTATAGTTATTGAACTTTATTTCTATAAAATACATTGCACATGGCTATTAATTTAATTTTGGCAAAATATAGTCTTATTTTATACATAAAACTTACGAAATGTAATGTTTGTTAATAGAATGGCACGCAAAACACGGACGAAATACTTTTACCATGGCAAATTAGACTGGGATGAGAAATCATCGGCCGGCAGATACGTCAGAGAAAACTGCAAACCGCTACTGGTAAGTACTTTATTAGATTGCGATGAGGCCTAGTTTTACTGTTAGAAAGTGAGTGGACGACGTAAAATTATAGTCATTTCTCTTTTAACATTAACAAGTAGAAGCTTCCTTTCGGCGTAATTATATATTATAGGAATTAACAAAGTGGTTTGTATGTCACATGCATGCTCGAATGCATATTCAAAACATTGGGCTATAGCAGTGACCTGACTTTTGTCATTAATAATATTTTTTATGCACGACTTTAGAATGGTGCTTTTCAACGAGAAATTGTAAACGTCTTATATATTAATTAGACCTAAATTTGTAGTAAAATAAAATATATTATTGTTATTATTCTGTTTCCCTAGATTAGATCCCTAGTGTCATTAATGTTTTTGAGCTCACTTTCCGCCTGATCGCTTGCATGATTGTCAAATAAAATCGTTTTTTTTTTCTTTTAACAGAGGTACCTACAGAATAACAGTGAAGAGCACCGGCAACTCTTCGACCTGATTGCGAGGATGTTGGAGTACGAACCCTCGCAGCGAATCACGTTAAGGGACGCGCTTAAACATCCCTTCTTCAGCAAACTACCCACACACCAGAGGCTCGGTTGGTAGTGCCAAATCCTACTAGAATATCTATATAACATATAATGATAGCACAAAGATGGGTAGAATCGCTTCGGATTTTATTACATTCACTGTATAGCGTTGTTCATATGACGAAGCGTCCATTTGATCAATCCTAAGATGTTGAACAAAAGTGGAACTTAGCCAAACTAAGAATAGATAGTAAATATATTGTATATATATTCCTATCTAGTGATACTAAATTTAAATTGTATCTCTTAAAATTAAAGTAATGTACTAGTTAAATCACAGATTTCTTTTGTTATAGGGCACCAGTTTTCAAGGCCATCATTCCTTAGGTCAGGCCTTTTATTACACTGTTAGACGCTTTTATTAAAGCTTTTTTTTTTTATCCAAACTCATATTGCGACATGATATTATTTTTCTTTTAATATGTGTTGTTTATGTGTTAGTGGTTGATTGGTTTCGCTTATATACGAAGTGTTTAAATGTTTATAACAATATTTATGTACGTTTTTGACTTGTATTATCTGTAAATACTATGAATTTTATTGACGTCCAATTTCGTCCAAACAACGTTGTTATCGATGTTAATATATTATATGTAACAAAATATTAATTGGTCTCATTTGGTATTTACTATTTACAACGATTATCACGTTATTATGGCTGTCACCGTAACACAGAATGTCACTTCGTGTAAAACTATCGTATCGTGATCGAATAAAATTTTAGTAATAGGTACGGTTCGAGAATCCTAGTGATTGTTTATATATATCTCTCGATAGAAAAAACAAATCAGTCTTATACAATGATTTTTTTAAAATTGTTAATAATAAATATGTTGAATACCGTTTTAATAAAAAATATGTACTTAAATATTTGGGAGAATAGAACTCATAGAACATATTATTATTAAGTATATGATGCATTGATACCATAGCATAATAAAAATATTATAATAATTTAGAATTCGTTGTAATAACGTTATAAATCTGATCTTTTTATCGTGTGCGTCTGTGTGCATACTAACTACATACAGCCACTAACTCACACTCATATGTTTCCTGCTCAATGATGTAGGAATTATATGGAAAAATAATACTTCTAATTTATAATATATAATGTTGCATCATAAATAAAACCGTATTTATGTGTAAATTTTATAAAGAAATATTAACTCCCGCACAATTTACTATTAACCTAACAATTGGAATAAACGGATTAGTTCAAAGTAGTATTATTATTAATTAATTAAAAGTCAGAACCTATAAAATTTATTAATTGAAATTCATCCTAATATTAAATACCAACTAATAAAATTAATAGTAATTTAGTATAAATGTTAAAAAAGTTATATTATAAGATTATATTATATATCAATATATAGTTTAATAAAAGTGTTGACCTTTGAAAATGTTTAAATTATTCTGTTTTAAATAATAAAACCGGAATTAAGTTCGGAATTATCGATTAGAACGAGCCGTATTCATTCGACGCCCATAAAAGATTGAAATCGCCGTAATTTTTTTTTTTTATTGTATAAATATACGTAGTTGTGTTACTTGTATTATTTGATATTGCGTTCAAATAAAGTGACGCAATCCTTGTATAGAAATGCATTTTTGTAATAGGGAAATCAAAAAGGAAACACTGTTTTGGCAGTCTTGCACAATATAATGTCATAAATATATTCAATTTTTTAATAGTATGCGAATGCAAGTTATACGTCGTACGTACGTCACTTTATATGAATGTGATCTGGATATGAGTAATTTATATACTTGTGACTAGTTGTAGCCGATCATCCGCTGTAAAACCTTGTTCAGAAAGGGTTATGCCTGGTAGTTAATCCACGTTCTGTTTCCGTCCCTTTATTCCGGACAATGTCTGCTGTGGCTACATAACTGGAAAGCCTAGTGAGCTGAATGAGTTCGTTGAAATATTATATCGACTGATGTTAGGGAGTCACAGTCACTCTAGTATAATCTTGTATGGTATTAATTTTCTTACTTGTTATTTTTTATAGTGTTGTAACGAACTGCTTATTAAGTTTATTTTTACCAACTTATAAAAATGACTTTATTTTTTACGCAACATCTTCGGATATTGTAAACCGATTATGGTCATGGTGATCTCATACTTGTTTTGATATATGAAGTTTATTTTTATCAAAAATAATTGTTTTGTTCATCATGATTATTTACACAAATAACATTAACCTATTTTGTGTATTAAATGTAAATAGATGTATCTATATATTTACTTTAAGATAAGAATATAAAGACAAGATGAATTATAAACTACTGTACTTGATAGATCGTTACGTTATCGTTGTTATCACAATATCAAATAGGTCTATTAAATGAACTTGATAATAATTAAACAAGGTTCCTTCGTGGGCCGGCGAGTGTTGCGGGCGGCAAATGTAGTGGCATTTATGTGATATTAGAACAGTCAGCTTCATGAAGGTCAATTTTATGTTTTGATTATGTTACGATTTACTTTCAGTAAATCGTAAAAAATTATATGACTAACGAAGTACATATATTTTATGTAAAAACATCGTAATAAATGGAACATTATTATGCGACGTTACAAGATCTGTAAATGTTTATAAAAATTATGTAAATTTATTTTTGGAACCTACGCTTCAGATTTCCGCCAAACCCGGTGCCAGACATAACTTCAAATGTTTTTACACATATTTGAAGATGAATGAAGTCTTCAAAAATGTGTAAACATATTTCACCACAAATGATTTGCAAACATGTACGTGCGTACGTTACTATTAAATGTTTCCCGTATAATGTCGGTGTTTGATTGCATATCATGTTTAAATGCACAAATATGCCAGGTTTATTGCATACTATGCACATATTCAAATATTTGACGATTTTGTATGTGTTAGTTGTTGTTGTTGTATCGTAATCTTCATATAAATCCTCCGCTAGCTAGTCTAGGTTTAAGGTTGACATGGCTCGCTAAGACGGCGTGAGTTCGGGCGCCTGCGAGCAATCAGCCGACCGGTCGGCAAACATGTGCACACTTAGTGCTCAGCTTTACACAAGTGTACATTTAAACTTTAAACATGAGATTCCATCAAACACCGACAAGGCACGGGACATGTTTGTAAATTTAAATACTTGACGTTTTTTAGGCGTTTGTTGTTGTATTGTAAGATGTCTGGCGGCGGGTAGATATGAAGGTGACTGTTGACAAGGTATCGGTTGGTCGGTTTGCAGGCAGTGACCGCGCGCGCTGCGGCGGCGAGAGCTCGGGCTCGCGCGAGCGGTCGGCCGACCGGTCGCACGATCGGTCGCACGAGCGATCGCACTCGCTCAGCAGGTGACTCCGCCCGCCGCCCGCCCGCCTGCTAACTTGTACAGTCCCAATAAAGTGATAAGTGATAATTATTTTTGTCGAACATTGTAATCTAGGTAATATTTTGTTGTGAATCGGTACTTCTCAATTTGTATTTATAAATAATTATTGAAATAAAGACTGTATCGGTCTTAAATTGTATTTTTATTGGTGAAAATATACCTATATCCTCTAACACAACGGTCCCATCTGAATAATTCAAAATACAAGTTTTAGAAGACAAATGTGCATGGCAGTAGTCGTTCATTCAATGTAATGTTACACATAAGTAATAAATCTAAATAAACTGGCTTTAAAAAAACCGGTTGTATTTCTTACCAGTCATTGTCAATTGAATCTGTATACTGAACTGGACGGTAGGGATAAATATTGCTACAAAAAGTTTAACATTCATCAGAGTCTAAAATGCCCTACATGAATGAACGATTTGATTTGATCTATACTTTATTAAAGCAGATATTTACAGATGTTATTTCTCAACGATCGATCATAAGTCTGATAGACCTACATGAATAAAGATATTTTGATTTTATTTGACGATTGATAAGTTAATGAAACATCTTGAGTTAGTAGTAGGGATTTTTTTAAAACACTTATTATAACTTCAATTTTATTTCAAATTTACATATAAATACCACATCTTATGCATTTTAATATATTATTTAACTTAATATACAGCAATTTGATACTAATTAGCATCCATTTTTATATGTGGATGAATTTAGAAATCATTAACAAAGATCAACAAAAGATTTTCAATAATAAAAAGGTAATACATTCGAATTCTACACTCGGATTGTATATAGTTGAAAAACAAGATAATCTTTACTTTTTGACTGATTTCTTAATTTGGGTAGATATAAAATATTTCGAATGTACTCACATTAATGTTCATATAGTATGTATACATAGGTTCATCAACGTGTTCCTTCTATTTGGAATGATTGACTATGCAAAAATAACATTGTTTATTATAAATTAATACTTCACCATTCAGATTTTCCATATAAATATTACCGTATAAGATAAAATTCTTTGCTACTGTCGTTACTATCTTAGAATCAAAACAAATGTCAAGAGAAAATAACGGTAACAAAGAAATCACGCATAAGACGAAAACACTAGATATTGCTGTCTCATTCTATCTCGTGTATGCCGTAAATATTGATTTCTTATCCATACACTAATTTGCCACTTGTCTAGGCTCTTTATTGTGAAGTTATTTACTCCCACATATTTATCAATATCTAATATTGTCAATTGTAAATAACTAATGTCATTATTATATTTTATAGTTAACAAGTGGTGCAGATAACATACGGAATACATATGAATCTGATAAAAATTAGAAAATATACAAGGTATTCCGACATTTCAGTGGTATTTATAAGAATTCCTCACAGGAAGCAATACAATAACGAGTATAAGTTATTAAAACACCGCAAGCACCTCCAAATTACAAGAGAATACATATTTTTCCGTACACATTGGTAATATTTAGACATTCATAAAATTTCCCTTGAAGTAAGCCATTATTAGAACCCACATCAAGGCAATACCATATTAATAGGATAATTTATTAGGAGACTAACCTTATTTATAAAAAAACTGTTTCAACTGTTTTCTAATTAAAAGAAATAACAAAACACTAATTAAAATATGTTACAAATGTTTTAGAAGTTCCAGTTTTTACGAATAAGTCAAGTGAGATTATGGAGAGAAAATGGAGAGACAAATAATTATACAATAATTAATATATACATAGACAATACATTGCACGCACATTGTGTACACATAAATCTTGACAATGAACACATTCTATATTTTCATATTTAAGCATAATTATTGTATTGTATTAATTTATTGCAAAGTTCGTTAGTAACACTAAAATATAATAAACATATCATCACATTTTTGTCTTTTATAATTATTATAATAATAAAAATCATTCATTATAAATTAAAATTCCTTTCCAAAATTAAAGTAAAAATCATCTATTAGTTTCTTTCGTCACAAATGTATTAAAGCCAGAAACAAAATGGATACCTTATATGTATTGAAAGCAACGAATTTAAATACCAAATCGGTTTCTTCAAATGTCATAGACATAATTATTTAAAAAGATATAAGTACAAATAGTTTCCATAATATTTAATGTAATAAATAAAGGTTTCATGACTTCTTGGCTTTTATAATTATCTAGGAACTAAACACTTAATATGTGTATCAGATGTCATATAAGCATAATATTAAATAAAAAAATAATGACGCAAAATAATATTAGAAATTTGTTCGCCTCAGAAATTCTGCGTACATCTAAATACTTTGTCGATAATTTGATTACATAATTATATTTACACATTCTAAAGATGAACACACATACTTACAAAAACTATTGTGATAACATCATCATTCTTGATGACACCATCTCCGAAACCTTATTAAAAACCTTGCCCACCAGTCTGATATTGCCAGAAAAATCTGGAAAACTTGATGTAACCAAGCCACTATGCAGATAGATATCTAACCATAATCAAAAATTTTGCCTCGTTGATTTCCATGAAGAAATGCGTGTTCATCATTTAGGTATATGCGCAAAATGCTATCATAATAATAGTGGCAGCCAATGCACATACAAAACACACTAAATAACAATACGGATAAAGTTAAGTTATAGCACATCATTAACTTTAAGATATTGTGGGATAGGAATTTGCAAAAAGGATATAAAACATAAACATAGTTATGTCTGAAGTCTCCTACTTTTAGACTAAAGACAGACGTAATTAATTATCTTCAAAGAGCCTACTTTAAAATAAAAATAAAACTGTTTTGTTAAACTCAAATTATAAGTCCAAGTGAAATTGTAAAATCACAGTACTATAACCAAATCAATTTCTAAACACTCCAAAATCTGAAATTGTATTTACGTAGTATATAATTACAGACTTCAGTGCGGATTTGCAGTCTTCATTTATTATGTAAATGTTGAAATTAATATGTATTATTTAGTGCGTTTTGTTTGTAATTATTCGCGAGAGTGACGTGAGGGGTTAGCGGCCGCTAGACTCGGTCGACTTGTGGTGAATTATCAGGCCATGAGTAGACGGGAGGCACGGCAGGTGAATACCGCACGTCGTACATCTGGGCGCGGATGAACTTCTCTGTCTCGAGAGGCTGTGGCTGCACGGATGCTTTGTCTGCGGGTATGGAAACATCATCAGATTATTCATTATATTAATAACTTGATATAATCCGAATGGATTTGTTTATATAAAAATAAATAATTTTCTAAAAGTAGAGTAAGTTACTCCTTATAATATTAGCTATTTGCGGGCGAAAGTCCAATTAAAAACGGTCCAGCCATTGCAGAGATTAGCAATAACAATTAGACAAAAAAAATTAAGTGCTATATATACTGTCATATGCATTTTGTCAAAAGCTGTTTATTTCAAATTACAGACACATCGATTTTTATTTATATAGATTTTTGAAGACTTCGAAAAGGTGAAGTTCTTTCAAGTTGGTTGCTAAGAAGTGGCAAAGTATTAAAGATGCCACGTGCGTCGTCAATTTCAGACGTCCATTTTGGGCTGTTTATGAATATGGGCAACGGTGTTCGACAGCTTGTTTGCCATTCCAGTCACATTTTATATTTCTGAATTGAATTGAAGACGAATTTCTTTATTCGTCAGTATTATAACAATAAAATAGGCAAGGAACCAATAGCAATCGTAATAATAATCACCAATAATAGTTCCAGTGCCCAAAGTTAATTATTGTAACCGATAAAGGCTATAAACGAATAGCAGAGAGGATGGACTCATTGCCCTCTCTTAGTGATAGATCATTGGTCTCGATTAATCTTAATTTTATTATAAACAGCAATTGTAACAGTTCATTATTCAAGATAAATAAAGATTAATATTATTATTAAATAATTACCAGTTTGGTAGGCGTGCTCGACTAGTTTCTTGGCAATCTTGACCGAGCACTCTTGGATATCTTCGAGTGGTGGGTAGAGACTGCCGTGATCCAAATTCTCCTGTGACACTATATCAGCAAGCGCCTGCCAAAAGGGAATAAACAAATATAAATATATGACATAACTAGCTCTTACCGCGACTTACTCTGATTTATGACAATAATAGTAAATGTCCTTATGCCATAATTTATCTATTTCTCACATTATAGTATGGAAATTCTTTGAAAAATAACTTTATTTAGAGTTACTGCGCTTTTTGATCGACTGTCGTGACTCCAAGATTACTTGTACAGATTACTTACTGCATACTTAATTATCACCTATTTATTTAATTGTACTTGTAACATATATACTTAAATATAACTCAATCAAGTTGTAGAGGGTATGGGTTTATTAGTATTTTACATGCTATGTTACCGAACAGGTGTTGTAATATTATATACACTGTATTGTGTCTATATCTGTAATAATACTTGTGCATATAAATAAATAAAGAAATATAGCTACAATAACTAGCTCTGTAATCGAGAAACCGACCTGTGCAGCTAACAGCATAAAGTCATCGGAAATGTCGACAATGCCGGCGCAAATGATGCCGAGGGCCAACCCTGGGAAGATGTAAGCATTGTTGCCTTGTCCCGGCCGCAGGATCCGTCCATCTTTGGTGCGATATTCTGGGAACGGAGAGCCAGATGCGAAAATAGCGCGGTCCTGTAAGACAATGTAATTATGTAAATTTCATGTTTAATTAAAGATAACTGAAATTATTTTGTAAGGAAGCATAACATACTGGTCCCCAGGAATGGCGATGTAGTATGATAATAGTTATTTTCAATATCCAGATGTTGTATCTAATGATAATGAAATAATCTAAGACAATGATAATGAAATTAACGTTTTACAAGTTGGAGCCGGGTAGATACTCATAGTCCCAAGATATTATAAACAGAATATGAATTTAAGTATATCGATAGTAACAAAAGAATTTTTGGAATCACTTTTTGGTTCATATTATGCGCATAAGAGTATTTAACTCCAACTAAAACGAGTTGATATGAAACATTAACCATTATGAAAAAAATGAAATGATTGACGACAACTCAATAGATCTTTTGTGAGATTCTATCTTAATTGGTATGAAAATGAAATCACACAGAACACATGTCATTTAGTCTATGGTATTAAGTTCATTCAGTTGAACGTACGTCTGTGTTGCTGTATGCCTCCTCAGCGGTACACTCTGCTTTGCTGGTGGGATTGGAAAGAGCGAATATGACGGGACGCTCATTGTAGTCGCCCATCTTGCGTAGAATGCTCGCTGTGAATGCGCCACCGATCGCAGCCGCACCTGTAATAAACCAACGATTGGTTTGTATACATACTTTATTAAACACAGTAACGTCTAGTCCAGAACTACAATAAGGTTGTACTATGGATACTAGCAATCAAATACAAATAACTACGTCAGTATATTTACCAATTCTGTTACATAAAAATAACTACATAACTACTGAACTTTAATAATATGATGTAAAAAATTAAAGGTTATCAGTCGACCAAAAACCAACAATCCCTTGACCTTCCTCCAACCCTTATATTCTACGTTTAAATATATCCTCTTCCCGAGGGTTTCAAAATATCAATCAAGCTAAAGTTACAAAAATTAACTCACCGATAAGTACAGAAGGTTTAGCCTGATCGACGACTTCTTCAAGAGTGCGGACCGGAGGACAGTCTTTAGCGAATTTCTCCTTGTGTTCATTGAGACCACCTTCGGGCCTGTTCTTTACGATAAGTCCTTTCGAATCTACCATCCATATTCGGGACCTGGCGTCTGCCTCCGACGAGCCCTCGGCCTTCATTGCCATTACGCACAATTCCGCGATACCCAGCGATGCCTGAAACGTTCAAGTTAATCTAAAATAAATGAGAATCCTCAGAATTCACTCAGATTCATTGGCATTCCATTAATAATTTTGGGGAATTGTACCAAAATAATTTAATATAGGTAGTTTAAATATATTGTGTTTCCAAAAAGATTTAATTCTACAACATCACTTCAATATCTTTACTTTATAATGATAATAACAATAACCTTCGACAATTTACAACAGCATATAGTCTCAAGCAAAGCAGAGCTTATGTTATGGGTACTAAATAACTGATAGAAATACATATAGACAACATTCAGATAAATACAACCGATCATAATGTGCGAGGAATTGAACCCACGATCATCGAAAGTGATGCGGGGTGCTAAAGCGCTAGACTACCAAGGCCGTCATATATTACATATATCTACTTCTAGACTGCCTTGTAGAAATATTCTATTCTGATTTAATACTCGACTAAGTTAATGATCACCTTTTGTAAAAATAGCTAATATGTCCATACAGCAAGATTTAAAATACCACATCTCAAAAGAACATGTAAATATTAAGTATATTCACCTCGCCAGCGCCTTGGAATACGATGGTGTTTTCAGCCAACTTCTTGCCCGTAACCCTCAGGCTGGCCAGTAGACCAGCTACTGCTACGGACGCTGTCCCTTGGATGTCATCATTGAATGTACAATACCTTTAAACAAATCTTCACTGTTATCCCTTACGTGATACAATATTATAGATATGTATACCGTAACCTGTGGTTATAAGGATTTACGGAATGGTGAAGTAACTATGGTCAAATGACTTACCACCCAGACTTAAATGTAGACTACGAAGGTTTGTTAAGATTGAAGGTTTTTAGTATGGGGCATTTTTGTCGCATACTGAACACTGTGTCTATTAAAATTTCTAATTCCATGGTGATGGAAAACACTATTAACAAACAAAGTTGATCTAAAAAATGACGGTAGCCTTAGATTCCATTTTATAGTCGACGAAGTTAATTTTCTCATATGTTGCATTCAAGAAAACTTCCGCAGACAAAGTTATAGTAACTTTGACTACCCCATGTAGGATTACAGGTCGGGAGGAGATAGGTATATTGAAATCAGAAGAATCTAAGCATTCTAAACTTGTTCTTCAAAGACTCTTATCTAATAAATCATTATGAAACTAAGAAATATTAGCTTAAGTTATAATCGAAACCGTATGTCCTTGAAATAATTATGTTCCTGACCGCTTACTACCTTTAGCATTTCCAAATGCCATGTGTGGGAGGCGGCAGTATTGGTTACCATAGTGACAGCTGTCAAGCAACTCTTCAAAAAGCGTATAATAAGTAGGTATACGATTTGGCACCTGAACGGTCCGGCTGTCGAGTCGGTTTACCTCTAATCAATCATGAATCACAAACTTTATAGCTCATTCGCCTTTGACCATAGTAGATACAATTGAGTTTTATTTATTTAGGATTGTTAACTTGGCATAGGTACATACTTTCCACGATATCTCTCCAGCAGCCTGAAGGCATTCGCATTGCCAAAGTCCTCAAACTGGATGAGGCAGTTCTGTCCGAAGCGGCGAACGACGGCCTGCATAAACTCTTCTATGAACTCGTCATACTCTGCTCCACGGACCCGCCTCTGACGAAGCCCGATGTACAGGGGATCGTCCAGCATAGATTGCGTGTTGGTGCCCACATCTATCCAGAGAAAATATAAAATTAATAATAATAGAAAGTAACAGAAAGGCTATTAGAAAAATTAATACAAGGAATAATAGTAATGAAAATTAAGCCAAAGATTAATAAAATTGACAAAATCATTACATGGACAGTACCACTATTGTCAAAGATCAATTATATTTGCCAGCCATGGTATATGCATTCCCACTAAGATATCATGTCTCCATATCCTACTATTTCCACATTTCTTTAATTGGTAAAAAGAAATAGACAGTATCAAATGATAAACACTTATTCGGTAGCCTGTAATTTGAGATTTTACTATAAAAATTAAAAACAAACAAATGTACAGTACTGTACCACTGGCCGTTATCACGTCATTACATCAAATAAGTATCTACTATGTTGGTAAAATAAATATATGACTAGTGAAGACAAATATTTAGATACATTAACTGCTGTAGGACTACTACTATACTAGCAGATTTGTGTGGTACGATATAAACATTTCATAATAAACTTCATAGTAATCAAAACTGATTACAGTTTTTTTGACGTATTATTTTTAACCATATTTTTTGTGACTAGAAAAGATATGAACGTTCAAATCCCATACAAACATTAAAAATTATATTACATTAGCACTCGCAAAGATTTTTCCGGCACCACCCGTGGTTGACTGGAAGAAAATGGCACAAGATCGAAGTCAGATGTTTGTACCATTAAAGTTACATAATTGTAAATACAAGGCAGTGAATTTAAGAGGCATAGCATCTTATTTCTTTGTCGTGGCAATGCATATCACGGGTTCACATAACAACGTAAGTACTATTCATGTGTATAGGTGTGACGGTTACCGTTTATCATCATGTGGTTTATTTGCCATTTTATATGTATACAAAAAATAAATTAAATGGAGTGTACGAACCGAGAGTAATAGGTAGACATTGATGCGGCTTGATGCCGGCAAGTGCGGTGTAGAGAGCCAGCTTTCCGACCGGGATGCCCATACCGCAGGCACCGAGATCACCCAGACCCAAGATGCGTTCGCCGTCGGTCACCACGATTGCTCGCACATCCGTCTCGGGCCTAGTCAATATAAATAATTGATATTATACAAAAATTATTTATTTGGGATACAAACAGTACAATGTTGTTAGTATTTAAATACATATGAATATGAGTTAATTATAACGAATCCAAGGATTACACAGCTTATATTATAAAGTAAATAATTTTATTTTTTGTTCATAAACAAAAATAATATAATAACCCACAATAGATAAGTTTTTAAAAAAATTGCGAGTTGTCTGCAAGCAGAGATGAAGGGTAGAGAAAACATGTTAAGTCTTCCCTAAATTACATAGAATAAGGAAAAACAGCTGAAAATGAATATAAAACTACTATCAACAAGTATTATGAAATGTGCTTTATTTTCAGCAAAATAAAGATTAGACTTTTAAGATGAGCACCAGGTCCCTATTTAGAGCCGCATGGACAAAATAAAGATCGCTAACCTGCGATAGGAGAAGGCCTGGCAGCCAGAAGAAGAAGAAGGAGTTTCATAATTTTCTGTCTGTACCTTTGGTCTTTGGTTATAAACAATACACTAAAAACAATTGCAACAATGTCCTTAATATAGATAGATATAACATTTGTAGAAACTATAGTAAAAATACTAATCAATTTAACACAACATCAACCAATTATATTAGCGTGACATGCAAAACATATGATACCATGCATGAGTAATAGCTGCATTACCGATTGTATACGGAGTGGTGGTAATAACCGGTATGACCCATATCTAACAATGCATGTAGATATCTTTGGTTCATTATTCAATTCATTAAACAAACCAATAGGTCAGTAGTCAGAATGGTATCCATATATTGATGCTAGTTCGATAAGATTTCAATAATGTAAGTAACTTATTGTCTCGAGTTTAGATAGATGGCCTATAGACAAACCATACTTCATTGCATTATAAAGTCAATCTCCTAATTCATCGTCAAATTCATTAATAGACAAAAATTGAAATTCACCCTATATTATTATTTTCAAAATACTTTGTCTTAAAATGCTGTCATATCTGAAGAGTAACAAAAATAGAAAGATCGTCGCTGAAATTGTATTGAACCATGAACAATTATTTCGTAGTAGAATTTATTCATTGCTTCCCATTACAAGCATATAGATTGGATTTCAGCACATTATTTCAATAAAGTATCTCTAAATACTGTCACCTAGGACATACATTAAAGCTGAGTGGAGCCATTTCAGTGCATTATTGGATGTAAAAAATGTTTATTTTATGTTTATTTTTTAATTATGGTAAATTAAGTTTAATTATATGTACATTTAATTTGTTCTTTTTTTCGTTTGTTGTTTATATTGTATTTTTACATTGCACTGAATAAAATATTTTTCTTTCTTTCTTTCTTTCTTTCTTTCTTTCTTTCTTTCTTTCTTTCTTTCTGTCACTAAGACTTCATAAATACATAAAAAATCTTCATCAAAACCACCTATGCCACTGTTTTGAATTGATCTCTATCTCTTCTAGGAATACACCTTTACTCACATTGTCTCTAAATTATATTATTAATGTATTATCTGAGCAATACAGAATAAATAAAAATAGACTCACCAATTTTTCAATATGTCGTAAACGTGTCCCTTGTCATGTATGGTAATGAAGAGTCCACGAGGGCGGCGGTACACGAGACCGAACTTCTGGCAGGCGAGGCCCACAGTCGGGGTGTACACTATCGGCATCATCTCGGACACATTCTCGCCCACAAAACGATAGAAGAGATGCTCGTTGCGATCCTATATGGAACAGTTATCATATTTAGATATATCATTCTTATTTAAGACACAACATTTTTCATAGGATATAAGCCGATCTCGTCTTTCACGTTTCTCGTTTTAATGTCTAGATGCGGCTTCAACTAGAGGACATGTATAACCCCATTATACAACTCGAACCCAAGATGTGTATTTCATCTAGTAGTAGTGTATGTGTGAGCTGATAAAAACCATCAAATCAATAGATCCCTAACAGTCAATAATTATTTAATTTTAGTTTAGTGTTTTTTATTTGTAATAATGTTAGTTATTATGGTTTGTTAACAAAAACCCAAACGTGACAACAAAAATAATGAACGTTTCTTAACGTCCTGTAACTATACTTAAAACAGGAACTCGCACTATGCATGGATCTGTGGAGTTGCAGTAAATTCGGCCTTGTGAATAAAACAACGGGATTCATGCTTCACGGCACCCTCTCACTGACATGCGAATGAGACCATGCTATGCCGACACTGCTTACCTTTTATATACTTTAACTTTAATTTGTAAGTTACACAAACAAACAACAATAGGTATATATAACACAATGTATACAACAGACACATTGTCACGATATGGGCGTACTAGTGCCCGTATCATGACAATGTGTCTAAATAGATATATAAAAGAAATATTATTAGTATATGTAGCTACGAGTATGTAACCTATATTTGTTTGCCACCATAATATATAAAAGAAAAAAAATATATTTTAATGGATGACCATTAATTAAAACTTTCATTACTGGCTGTAATATCGTCTGGTTTCTTTTTGAGATAAAAGACTACGCTCAGATTAATTTTCATTATGATCCGTTCAGTCGTGTAGTTGTGAGTAACGTAGCAAACAAACGGACAGATATACCTACACTGTTTTTAATTTATAATATTAGATATTCGAAAAACTACCGTCATCATAAGAAAGATCAATGTGAAATGAAATGACAAGTGTAAATAGGTATTTTAAACTTTATAACGTTATCATGATCACGTTCAAATACTATCCTTTGTTCAACTTGTTTCATATCAGACAAATCAAACACTTGTCTAATATCGTATTTCTACAAATCATACAAACAAGCGTGTAAACTTTCTTTTCGCATAACCATACATACCTATATTCATAAAAACAATAACCTATACACCAATTTTAAATTTAAAGTATTCAATTTTAAACACAATAGCAATCTTGTTCAATTAGATATAGACATATTCTAATATAATTATTTTTTTAAACTACCGCTTAAAACAGCGTAATAAATGAAGAGAAATAGAGAAAATGTAAGAAAGAAAAACATAACAAGATAATGTTAACTTACCAATAGTCCCATAAGATAGATATATTTGTTAAGGGGGTCCTCGTATCTATCGATGGACAGTTTGCACAGTTGCACCTGCTCTTCTTGACTCTTGACCCTGGCGGGCAGCAGGCCGTGTATCCCCAGCACTTGGCGCTCCTCGATTGTGAAGGCCATGCCCTGTTGAAATTTAATCACAATTAGCATTTTCGGCTGTATCTGTGAATGTCTGTGGCATCTTAGCTCCTAAAGGAATTAATATATTGTTGCGTTTTTTTTTTGTTTGTAAGCTGACGTAACCCAGTTCACAACTATTATTTTATTACAGTTTTTTTTTATTTGGTGTAATTTATAATTTATAATATATGTATATAGTATATAGAACTCAACTAAAATATAGAGGAATTAAATAGTTACTCTATTTCTTGGATATGTTAAAATAAATATGCATGGTATATTATACATAGGTAGGTAGGTAGGTATAATAGCAAGTAGCGGCGGCCGTACCAATTAACTTCCTCAATAAATTAACACTACAACATGGAAGTAGTATGTAATGTTATTTATTATAACATAACCTTATGTATACATGTAATGTAGAAAATTTCTAAATTTTTATGCTACTAACAATAATTTCAGAATAGACGAATTATTTATACTTCACTCTTACATTTATGAAATTTATGTACAATTTATCTTTGTCTATTTATTCTGATCTTATAATATAGATCTATTAGATCAAACTAATCAGAATCAGAATAATTATGCATAAGTATAATTTATTATTATGTAAGTATATCAATATCTCAATGTGTCCTTTGTGTGTATAAAACACGTATCCACTACAACGTAAATAAACGTATAACTGTTCCATAATATCTATTGTCCTGCATTGTTGTAATCGTGGTTTACTGGATGAAATCTCTTGTTATTATATATTATATTTATATATTGTTTTATATATTATAAGCTTGCCTTTATACATTTCATCTATGTATTAACCTTTTTTTGTGATTGTCCTGTGTGTATACAAAAAGAATAATGCGATCTTTTTTCTTAGGGATTATAGAATTATTTCCTCTTATTGCAACTCTCACTAAAATACTTTTAAATTAAGTTTAATTACTATCGTTTTACGTAAGCAGGTAGATAATTTGTATTTCTTAAAAATTTTGGCGAAAATAAATTAATATTAAAAAAATAATATCATATTTATATCTATGATTATGTTGATGATAAATTATATGACATGCCACCATCGTGTCGTATTAATTAGCAATACATAAATGGAATTAAATGCTACAAACTGACGATCCAGATACACTATGCAGATTTACAGTACTACGGACATCACGCATATAACGCGTTGCCAGGCCAGAGTACTAAGACGTCATGATGTCTTGTCCAATAATTTCACTGCCTAATCACAACCGAAACACTGCTTACAAGGCAGGCGGCTGATATAATTAATAACGAATCACACCACAACGAGGTGTCAGCCGCGAAAATGATTTGCAAGTGCGGCAGATAATCAGCTGGTACGTGATCGAACAAGGTCATCATGCTACGGTAGCGTGGCCTTCACACCGCCGTACGAAATATATTTGTTATTACAGTTCTAATAACAACGTGCTAAAGACAATTTTCGGTTAACGCACTGAATATTAATATATTTTTGCACAAGTAGGTATTTAAGACAAACTCGTTTTTACATAATTAAAAATTATTATTGCTATAGACTGAGTATGTAGTTAATATTTTTACAGTAACACCTGTGGTATGGTTCTATAGAAATGGTAAAATGGCCTGGCGTCACTTATTTCTATATTTATAAAACAAACATATTTTAAAAATAAATTATATCAGTTCACATATATCAATTACGTGCCTACTCAATCAAATCAAAAATCATTTAGGTTTTTTTATATATTTATATAGGGGCTTTTTATCAAGTTTTTTATATTAATATTTTTTCCCTACAGTCCCGTTCAGTACCTATATAGATTCAATTGAGATGAACTGACAAGAAACTCAACTGAATTTCTTTTTTTAGAACTCATATTTACTTTTATACTTATGTAGGTGTCTAACAAACATCAAACATTAACCTGAGAAAAAGTTAAGACAACAATCATCTTTGCTATTTAAATATAAAACTTGAACATAATATTGAAAATATAAATAACCAAGAATAGAACTTTGAACAAAATTAATTGAACAATGTCCTCTTAGATGTTGTGTTCAAAATATTTTAATTTGGATGTCAAAAAAGGTAACACGATAAAATATAGCAAGAGCTGCAGATGTATCAATGTCTACACTGCTTCTTCTACAGAGAGCGAGAGAAAAAGAGCGTGAACAGAATCAAAACGAATATTTTATGCATATCTGCGAAACCCGACGTTTTAGTACCACAACCGCCGACGGCGATAAAATTTTAAGAATAATTGTCGCGATCAAAAAGATTACCGAAAACCACGTTGCCTAGAGTATCGACATATCTATACATATTTAAGACATAAACCGCTCTTATCGTCGTAGTAACTAAGTGAATTCCAACGTTATATATACAAATAAAAGATTCTTTCATAAATTCTGCTAAATTTAGAAACATATTTCGATATAAATGCACAGTTATTCATTGTTCACCGTCGTAATAGATTTAGATAACGTCTACAAACTAAAACCATTATTTTTAATAGGAAATATCTACAATATTAATAAAGTATATATTCTTCTGTTTAAATGTGAACCAGAAGTAGTTTCCTGTTTATAATGTTATATTATTAAACCAAAAGTACCTAATAAATAGTCTCTCATGTAAAATAACTCGTATTCAAAAATCTAAGAAAGAGCAGTATAATCCTTTTAAGCCGTAAGGATGGTGCTCTTTCATTACAAATCTTTCATGGCACCCTTTCTAAGTACTTAATTCTCCTTCGACTGTATAGGTAAATTTACATTTGTATTCAAAGTATCTAAAAGCCGCTTGAATCGTTTCGTCAATTCAAATTATTAAAAAAACATTTTATTCATGTCGTGGAAAATTGGAAAGTAAAACACAAGAAGTGTTAGACATTCCGCATTTAACCGATTAGAATCATATAAGAATTTAAGAAGTTTCAGATTTGAAAACACGAGTCGAAATTGGCAATTATGCACTACGTCCGTTTCGATTAATGTTGCTTCCGTACACTTAAAACTGGTCGATAAATAATACTAATAGAAGTTCAGCCTGTATACGAGGCTTCGAATTAACAGATGTGCCAGCGTAAACCGCTAGCGCAGGCTGGTAGGTACACCATTCCATTATTGTCCATAAAAAAAAACATGAAAGAATAAGAGCGGAGTTGAGTTACTTCTAAGTTATTCTTAGCTCAAAAGTACTCCGAAATGACGGTAGATTATCATGAGAGTCTGTAATAGACCTACATGAATGAGAGAGATAAACAAAGACTATAATGAATAATGAAACAAACCCGTGAATCTCCGGCAGCTAAACATTCCGGGATGGCGTACAGCTCCCTGCGAGGCGTTAGTTGCCACCAATCCCTCTCCATCTTACAATCCCCTCAACACCATTAAATACACTCGATTAAATTAATTTCATTAATGAGATTTCAGCATTCAGAAACATTAAAACAACGTCCTGTTTAAAACAACAATTAAGAAATGTTTATATTATTTGAAATTACTGTAATATTTTAATAAACATTAATTTTGAAACTTATTGTACAGTACAATACTAATACAACGATACAATTTCTAATATTGATGCAAGATTAGGTACTATCTATTTTCAATCTGTGCTTTTTCCTCTCAATTATGCCATTTATTACAATAGAAATAACATTACATCCAATGAATAGTTGTTTAATATACCAAATAAAAGGTGAATTGAACAATGTTTTTCATTCGGTAGTACCATACGTACTCATAATTAAGAATACATTTTGTGATCATTATTTCTCTGCACTTTTTACTTATACTTTCGCACTTTTATTATCTCCTCTGAACGTATGTATTGTTCATCGAGGATTCTTTAAGGCCTCGACTTTATGATCGGTTCTACACATTAAGACTTTTACGAGATATTTAAACCCTCATTTAATCACTCATTTGCTCAAGAATCCTACAAAAAATTTTCGTTGCAATTTTAAAGTGAATGATGTCGCTTTATCCTAGACTGGCGTGCTTGTGCCAGGATAGAACCGAACTAAAGCCGTTGTCATGAGATCGATATGGACGTCTTTTATTAATGATGCAACGTCGCAATACTGTAGTTATAATATAATTAAAAACAGTTATATCGAGGCGTGACATTAGCTGTTATTGTTATCTCTTTCACAGTTACAACTTTAAAATATTCAGAAACTGCAATAATCAAATTAATTTTTATGCAGACAATCTTTACACTTACGATTATAGTGAGTCCATAGAAAATTGTTCTATCGATTAGGTAGTATATATACTATGCCATCGATATGGTTTCAATATAAAGAAAAGTTATTATTAGTCTAAATGAAAAATAACATCTCAGGTATATAATGAAAAAAATACAAGATAATTTTTTATCTTCAATTTTAACGCACTCTATAGACAGGTTGTGTTAGAGATAATCAATAAAGACAAATATCTTAGTAGAAATATTATTGGACGACGGACGACGGCCATACTGCTTTTTAATGCAAAGATTGTCACAACCAATATAATACATATACATAGTTAGAATTGCGCTAAAGTATTGTCTAAGAGTTATAGCACATACTAGATACATACATATACCTATATATTGTCACGGCACAGTCTACCTTGATATCCAATGTAAGGTTTATACCTTAGATCATGACATGTCATAAAAGCCGTAAAAGCCTATAAAGACAAAGTAATATGTAGTATGCAGTAAATATTAAAATTAATGACTCCTATATCTGCCATATACTTGCATTCACCTCATATAACTTCATTACGATAAGTGGCATAATCGATTTCACTTTGTTCTATTTTATAAGCTATACATATCTTTGTAAACTACTGCCTACACTACTTCTATTGATCCTTCACTAAACATGACTGTATCGTAGAGTCATTAGCTCTCTTGATTTTTTATTATCGCACAATAAACCAGAATAATATTCATATATAGCAAAAGACTAATAAAAAAAAGTAATTTTTGTCTT